GGAGTGGGTCTCATTTTCAAAAGTATGTCTGGTTGCTAATTATCCACAAATATTGAAGGCAAAATTTACCTCATTGCTGTGGAATTAATCATACTGCTGCTTATTTAATGTGAAATGCTTTCTCCACATGCCTTTTTATTGAATCCAAAATGGAGTATCATTCACATTCTCCACAGAAAGAACATTATATTCACCCTAATATTTTGGTTTCTTGAATTTATGCTTCATGACTTTTCATTTGTCTGATTTTATTGGATATATATGGTCATCTATAATTTGCAAAGTGAAATACATATGGACAATAAAATCTAATATAGATTACTTATTTTTAGAGAGGCAAGAGACACATCAGTCACTAGCCCTAAAACATTGTAGTGTTAGAAGAAATACATCCAGACCACTATCAACTTATACAAGTGATTTGAGAATAAAAACATAAAAGCTTTACTGAGCTTGCAGGAGGCAAAAATGGGGTTATAGATGCAAATATCTATTCACAGACCAAGGAGGCATTCATAGGCTAGAAAAAAATGCCTAAGAAAGAACAAATATGGGAAGCGTAGCTGCTCAGCCCAAATTTATTCATGAAACAAAAATGACATGTAAACATGTCTTCTTTTTTTCTTGGGAACATTCAAAGGGAAAAATAGTTTCACTATATATATTATAATCCTATAAAATTATGCATATTTCATAATATGAATGTTATGTCTATAATTTTATATGAAAATGAGATATTATATTTCTTAACATTTTTATCAGATATATTATACATATTGAGAGTAAGTATTTTTTCTTTTAATTATTAATTCTTTAAAACCATGTACCACACAAGCACAATTAGGTTCTGGTGATAATTGATAAGCAAGTTATGGTTACTGTCCTCCAGCAACTCCAAATTTATTCATTGCTTACCGCTATTTGTCATTTTAAGTCTTTCAGTTTGAAAACAAAATGAAACTACACTTATTTCAAAGACATTATTAGAAAAATTAGGTTAAACACTTAATGAAGTTATTTAATTTTAGAAACAGTAAGTATCATTTAAAATATAGATGACCTTCACTTTGCATGATTCAATATACATGTTTCAGTTAACACCATTTAGTTAAATAACACCAGTTATATGTTAACTGTGAGTAATTACATAAACTTTCCTTCTGCCTTTTTTATATACAAGCCATTACATAAACAACAAAAGTGCATTGTAATCAGTGACCAATCACATATGGTCATGTGCCAGATGAAATTTTGTCAATGAAGAGTAACATATGCCACATGGTCTCATAAGATTATAATAGACCTGAAAAATTTTTGTCACCACATGGTAGCCATTTTAATGTCATAGTGCAATGCTTTACTCACATGTTTGTGGTGATGCTGATGTAAATAAACCTACTGTGTTGCTAGTCATATAAAAGTATAGCACATACAATTAGATACAGGACATAATACATGATAACAAGTGACTGTTAGTGGCTTATGCATTTACTTTATTTTTATCATCATTTTAGAGTGTACTTCTTAAAAAAAAAGTTAACTGTAAATTAGCAGCCTCCAGCAGGTCCTTCAGAAGGTATTCCAGAAGAAGACACTGTTATCATGAGATAACTCTGCATGTGTTATTTCCTCTGAAAACCTTCCAGTGGAACAAGATGTGAAGGTGAATGACAGTAACATTGATGCTCCTGACCTTGTGTAGGCCTTGGCTAATGTGTGTGTTTCTGTCTTAGTTTTTAACAAAAAAGTTTAATTTTTTTAAAATTTGTGAATAGAAGAATGCTTATAGAGTAAGGATATAAAGAGAGTATTTTTGTACAGCTGCACAATATATTTGTGTTTTAAGCTGTGCTAAAACAGAAGAGTCAAAATGTTGAAAAAATTAAGGTTCATAAACAAAATAGTTACAGTAAGCTAAGGCTAACTTATTAGTGAGGAATAAATTGCTTTTTTTTTAATTCAGTGTAGCCTAAGAGTAAAGTTTATAAAGTCTGCAGTAGTATATAGTGATGTCCTAGACTTTCTCATTCACTCAGCACTCACTCACCAACTCACCAACAGCCACTTCTAGTCCTGCAAGCTCCATTCACGGTAAGCTCCCTCTACAGAAATACATTTTTTTCAATTTTTTATACTATACTTGTATTGTACTTTTTTATGTTTAAATATCTAGGTGCATAAATACTTAGCATTGTGTTACAATTGCCTACAGTATTCAGTACAGTAACATGCTGTACAGGTTTATAGCCCAGGAGCAATAGGCTGGCAATAGGATATAGCCTAGATGTGTGGTAAGTATAACTAGGTGTTTGTAAGTATCCTCTGAAGATTGCACAAAACCAAAATCACCTAATGATGCATTTCTCAGGAAGTATACCTATCATTAAGTGATACATAGCTATTATTTCTTTCAAAAACTTTCGTTGATACACTGCACATTTGTTATTCAGCTCACACACAGACAGCAAAATGTATAGTTGTGTTTATTTATCTCTCAGAGGTAGACAGATACTAAGCAAAATAGATTAAATTTCAAGTACTATTATCATTGGTAAATGTTCCAGGTCACCTTGATTCTCCTTGTAGCATGAATGAAAAAGTGAGCATTTAATTTTTAAACCAAATGCAACTTCATCAATCCAATCAATGGGCCTGGAATTTATTTCAACTTTTCCTGTTATTACAAATTGACTTTTGGAAAGGCTAATGCTACAATGGAAAACCATGCAGGTCTGTTTTACTACACCATGCAAATAACTTCAAAGGATTTGAATCAAATGTAAATATGGTTATAGCAGAAAGAGCTGACTGTGGAATGTTGACACTGCAGCTATTTGAGAGACACTAGATGTGGACCCAGAAGAACTTAGTGAAGATCAACTTAACAACATAAGTGAGGAAAAAATATGACTGTGATGAGAAAGATGAAGATGTCTAATAATTGACATAGGCATTTCTGGAGATATTCTCAGAGGTATTTCATGACATTGAAGAAACAAAGGAACAAGTATTTTAAGTGGATCCAGATTACAAAAGAGTATGACAATTCACAACATATAGAACAGATGCTCATTTCATATTGTAAATTATGCAAAAGAAGGAGCTGAACACTAATCACTATGTGTGCAACTACTATGACATGTATTTTTATAAAGACATAAGACACCTTAATTTAAATGTTCTCGTTATTTTAAATTACAGTATAAATATTATGAATTTACTATTTTTTCATTTTTGTGTACATTTATAATTGGCATAGTTTAATATTTTGACAAAAATTGTTAAAGGCAATGGAACAATAATACATTTCTCATTGGTTATCAAGACCACTTTAAAGATCATTCAGTTTGCACAGTCATTTTTATTATAGTATGATGCTGTGCAAAAAGAGGACTTTCTGGATTTACATTATTTAAAATAAAAAGGGAAATTGTGTGAATCAATGCAACATTTTAATTTATATTTTCTCTTAAAAATCTTTCTTTTCCTCATTATTTTTCAGCATTCACTTTTCAACAGAGAATAGGCTATACATACAATGCTAATTACATTAAAATATGCATTTTTAAAACATTCTAACCAATGAACAATAGCACAGTTTTTGAGAAACGAAAAGCCAGTAACCTGCCATGCTATCTGAGATTCCAGAAAAATAAGAGTAATGAACATGTATTAGCAGCTATTTTTCTAGTATTTTATTACAGAGACATCTGGCAGAAGGTTTTTACATGTTAGTAAAGATAAGTCACATTAAATAATATGGAAGCCTAGACTAAATACAATGAAAATGGGCCAAAAATAAAGCTATCTTTGAATACAATTTTTGTTTAAAATATTTAGCATATATTTTAAGGAAGGTAATATGCATGTAACAATGTTTTGTATTTGTTAGATGTACAATTTCATTAAATTTTTTTATGCACTGAATAAACACACCTCAATTTATACGTGTGTATTTGTGTGTGTATGTTTATGCATGTGAAAATTATACTATACTCCTTCATCCAAACTATAAACATTTCATTTCCAAGTTTCTCAGATCAACTATACCTAGGTTTGACCATGAGTATACCTTATTCCTAGATTTGCACAACTGAAAAATGGAAATGGAAATGAATTTGAAGGAGACTATTTGATAATCATGAAGATGATATAATTTTCTAAACAATGCAGACTCCATTTTGTTCCCATGTTTTGTAATTACAGGTTTCTTATAAAGATTTAGGCATTTCTGATAATATCCCAATGCCTAAACATTTCTTAGACCATCACTGTAGCTAAAGTAAAGGAAAGTATAGCACTGAGGTAAGAAAACTGCTTTCAGTAAAGGTCCATCACAACTAAAGAATAATTATGGATGAGGAAATGTTCATTCATCTATTCATTGCAATAGGTGCCTAATAATTTGTGGCCTCAATTATTATTTTCCATATTGTTTTTCACACAATTTTTTCATTTATTCCTCTTGACTTTTCTGTATTCCATCTTTTTTTTTTTCCTTTTCCCTTGTCTTTATCCTCCTTTTCCCCTTTTAATTTCTCTTTGGTTCCACTTGTGAGTATGTTATTAGAGTAAGGTAATCATTTTAGGTTCCTTGAATACCAAAGTTTGGATTATGTTCAATAAATACCATAAATTCTAAAAACTAATACAGACATATTGAATAGGCAGTAACTTTACAGCAGCTTGTAGCTTCTAACATGATAATCATCACACACACACAGTACTCCCTCTTATCCACAGACGATACATTCTAAGACCTTCAAGTGCAGCCTGAAACCACAGATAGTACCAAACCCTATGTACTTTGTTTTTCTCTATACATAAATACCTATGATAATGTTTAATTTATAAATTAGGCACAGTAAGAGATGAACAATAATAACTAATAATAAAGTAGAGCAATTATGACAACAAACTGTAATAAAAGTTATGTAAATGTAGTATCTCACAAAATACCTTCTTGTACTGCATTGTATGTATTTTTTGACCTCTTACAGCTGCCAGTGACCAAAACTATGGAAAGCAAAACCAAAGATGAGGGGGAACTACTGTAATATGAAACATTCATATAAGTGAGCTACTTAGAGAAGACCAAAGAGACCTGAAATCCAAAGTGACAAGAAGTCAGAACAACAAAAGAACATATATCTCAGAAATGATAGATTGTGTTTTCCTCCCCTTTTTGTTCTTACTTTTGATGCCTTTGGTTTTCCTCTTCCCATATGCATGAAAAATATGTTATAAGCATTCCATAGCATTGCTTTCTGATTGTTGGTTCACAAAATTGTTTACAGGATCTGGAATCTCTGGGAATCAGAGGTTAAATTCTACAATGGATTTGGCACTTCAAAATTGAGCCCCTGGGCCAGGCACGGTGGCTCATGCCTGTAATCCCAGCATTTTGGGAGGCCGAGGTGGGTGGATCACCAGGTGAGGAGATCGAGACCATCCTGGTCGACATGGTGAAACCCTGTCTCTACTAAGGATGCAAAAAATTAGCTGGGCATGGTGGCATGCGCCTGTAGTCCCAGCTACCTGGGATGCTGAGGCAAGAGAATTGCCTGGACCCAGCAGGCGGAGGTTGCAGTGAGCCGAGATCGCACCATTGCACTCCAGCCTGGGTAACAAGAGCGAAACTCCATCTCAAAAAAAAAAAAAAAAAAAAAATTGAGCCTCCTAGGCTAAGTGCAGTGGCCCACACCAGTAATCCCAAAACTATGGGAGGCCAAGGCAAGTGGATCACTTGAGGTCAGGAGTTTGAGATCAGCCTGACCAACATGGTGAAGCCCCATCTCTACTGAAAATACAAAAATTAGCTAAGTGCAGTGTTGCATGCCTATAGTCCCAGCTACTCGAGGCTGAGGCAGAAGAATTGCTCTAACCTGGAATGCAGATATTGCAGTGAGCTGGGATGTTGCCACTGGGCTCCAGTCTGGGAGACAGAGCAAGACTCTGTCTCAAAAAGAAAAAAAGTTGGACCTCCTAAAGCCTGGTATTAAAAAAGTGAACATGGCTTTTAGTGCTCACAGAGGCTTGTTAATTAATTTATTATTCTGTCTAGTATTTATAGCCATGGATATCTATAGAGCTTTGTGTAGACATTTTTGAAATAGGAAGTTTTGTCTGATGTAGTTATGTTTCAATTTTATTTTTATACAAATGCTTTAATCCCTTAAAATTAAAAAAAAATAGTCACAAAATTCAGGATAACTCAAAAAATTGTATTTCCTTTGAGTGAAAAACACCCCAAAATAGAAAAAAAAATGGATAGATTGAATGGCCATTAGAGGCTGCATTCAAGATGTATTTCTTTTGTGTCAGTTACTGGGAAAACACAAAGAAACATATGCAGTGAAGTTACACCAGAGAGTCATTGCAAAGAAATGCCACAGCTGATAGACATGCCAGTGAGTAGGTTGTTCCCAAAGGAAATACTGGAGGTGATATTTAAATTCAAATTGGCAGAGATCTTCAGGAATGTCTAACTGATCATGATCAAGTGAAATCCTGACTTTAATTATGAGGGAGGAAAAAACAATAGTGTATTTAAACTATCTGAATATAATTCTAATGAGTGAAGCATAGAAAACAGAATCATTAAATATAATTTCATCAGTTTGTACTACATACAGACAGGTAAAAAATTTCAATGACAATTCTGAGTATAGTATAATGAATAGATAAGGAATACATGTGTTTCCCCCAGAGAAATTATAATATGGAAATTTTTTGTTGCCTATTTAGATCGGCTTGTGGTTCCATTACACAGGTGGTAATTTTGTGGCATTTAGCACTATACTCTAGGTATAGAAATCCCAAAGGTGTGAAGTTTAGATAGAAAGGGTTTACGTTCATTCACTCAAAAAATAGATATTGAATTCTTACTATGTTATATATAATTTTCTTGAATTCATAGAAGTAGCAAAAAAGCAACATGCCATGCATCCTGTGCAGAGCAAAATGGGATATAAAAAGAAGCAGTATCAGACTTTTGACTAACCTCTTCGATATCTGCATTTTAACGTGCCAGATTCAAGCAGTCTTTGAAGTATCACCTGCTAGGACAGGAGAGTCATAATATCTGAGCCTGGACACAGTATACCAGGCTATTTAGCACTCTTAACCTCTACCTGTTGCCTTGATTCTTCCCATTGGCTTTTAGACATATTCAAATCTTTACCACTGAAAACAAATACCGCTTATTACAGTCATGTTTCCCCTCATTCTCCTCTAGCTACTTTGCTAGCTTTCTATTTTTCTTCTTAGCTCAAAGTGTAGGAAGTTTTCTAAAATGCTGTCTCTATGCTTTTCAACATACTCTCATTACAATATTATCTATGTACTGGTGAGAATGTAAGTCCGGTTGTTCCAACAGAGATCCAAAATTAACAAAGGTTTAAACAAAAGTGAAAGAATGTAGAGGTATATTTTAAAAGTGACAATTGAATGGAGAGAGATCCAAGATGGCTGATCGCTAACAGCTCGGGATTGTAGCTCCCAGTGAAAGTGCAGAAAATGAGAGGACACCACACTTTCAGAGGAACTTGTGTTGCTCATGGACCAGAAGATTCCCAGCGGAGGAGCCCCACGGGTCACCAGTGCAACTCTTGTGGCCAGCGCGGTGGTTTTGCTGGTGCCTCGATGCAGCATCTCTTGGTGCAGAGTAAACGGGACTGGTTCCCCTTCTGACTGACGTTTGGAGCTCCAGGAGGGCAGAGTTGCCTATTACAGACTCAAGAAGGAAGCCAGACTGGAGATTCCCAGGCAGAAGAGCAGCATTAGTCTTAATGCCGCTGTTTTGGCCGCGCAGTGGGTTGCTCAGATTCCGGTGCTGGGAATCAATAAATTGGACGTCAACTCAGAGACCTAATTAGAAAGGCAGTAATTGTAAAGACAACAGATGGATAAATTTATAACAAAGGGAAGAAACCAGCCTAAAAAGGCTGAGAATACCCAAAATCAGAACGCCTCTCCCTCTACAGGGGATTACAGTTCATCATCAGCAATGGAACAAGGCCTGATGGAGAAGGACTGTGTTCCATTAACAGAAGTAAGCTTCAGAAAGTGGATGATAAGAAACTTCTGGGAGTTACAAGATCTTGTTCTAGCCCAATGTAAAGAAACAAAGAACTTAGAGAAAAGGTTTCATGAAATGCTAACAAGAATAGACAATATAGAGAGGAATATTAATGAATTAATGCAGTTGAAAAACAACACGAGAACTTCGTGAAATATGCACAAGTTTGAATAGCTGAATTGATCAAGCAGAAGAAAGGATATCAGAGGTCGAAGACCAACTCAATGAAATAAAACGAGAAGATAAGAATAGAGAAAAAAGCATAAAAAGGAATGAGCAAAGTCTTCAAGAAATATGGGACTGTGTAAAGACCTAATTTACATTTGATAGGTGTACCTGACAAAGAGAATGAATCCAAGCTGAAAAATACTCTTCAGGATATTATTCAGGAAAACATTCCCAACCTAGCAAAGCAGAACAATATTCAACTCAAGATAGTACAGAGAACACCACAAAGATATTCCTCAAGAAGAGCAACCCCAAGGCACATAATCATTAGATTCACCAGGGTTGAAATGAAGGAGAAAATACTAAGGGCAGCCAGAGAGAAAGGTTGCATTACCCACAAAGGGAAGCCTGTCAGACTTCAGCAGATCTCTCAGCAGAAACCCTACAAGACAGAAGAGAGTGGGGGCCAATATTCAACATCCTAAAGAAAAGAACTTTCAGCCCAGAATTTCATATCCAGCCAAACTAAGCTTCAGAACTGAAGGAAAAATAAAATATTTTATGAACAAGCAAGTACTCAGAGATTTTATTACCACCAGGTCTGCTTTACAAGAGCTTCTGAAAGAAGCATTACACATAGAAAGGAACAACCAGTGTTAGCCTTTCTAAAAATATACCAAAAAGTAAAGAGCATCAGCATAATGAAGAATTTACATCAACGAATGGAAAAAACAGCCAGTTAACATCAAATGGCAGTAATCCTAAATTTAACTTGACTAAATCCCCCAATCAAATGATACGGCCAAACCCAATGGTATGCTACATCCAGACCCATTTCACATGCAAGAATACACAAAGACTCAAAACAAAGGGATGGAGAAAAATTTACCAATCAAATGGAGAGCAAAAATAAATAAATAAATAAAAAGCAGAAGTTGCAATTCTCCCCTCTGATAAAATAGATTTTAAAGCAACAAAGATACAGTGGTAAAAGGATCAATGCAACAATAAGAGCTAACGATCCTAACACCCAGATACATAAGACCTATAAAGAGACTTAGACTCCCTAGACTCCCAGAAAATAATAATGGGAGACTTCAACATCAATATTAGATAGATCAACGAGACAGAAAATTAATAAGGATATCCAGGACTTGAACTCAGATCCAGAACAAGTAAACTTAACAAACATTTATAGAGCTCTCCACTTTAAATACATAAAATATACATTCTTGTCAGTACCACATCTACTCATAGGTTTAAATGAAATATTGATCGGCCATTATTAAGCACGATTATTGGCATAAAAGAGGTTTTCAATACCCATTTTTAGAATAAAGCAACATTCCCCTTCTCTCTCCCTGTTTTTCTTCCTCTCCCTCACTTTTTTTTCTTTCTTTCCTTCTCTCCTTTCTTTAAAAAAAAAACTGGCTTAGCAAAACTTCTACTATGTAAAATAGAAAACTTTTATTTTCATAGGAAGTAATTTAATTGCTTTGTTTGAAATGTTTTCTGCCTTGGACTTTTCAGAAAAATATAGTGGTATTCACGTGTCACCAACAAGCTCAACACGTGCTAGATGGTATGCAGTGGTCAATCAGAATTGGTCTCTTTTTACTTTTCCAGTAAAATATGGAAATAATCTTCTGGGCATAAGTTTTACATATTATTTTTTGGCTCATGTTTCCAAGAGTCATTCAATATTCATAAAAGCCTTTCACAAGCAGAGTTATAAAGACCCAAGATACAAAGGCCAGCAACACTCGGCATTGTTCCATTTAAAATAAAAAAAAAAAAAAGTAACAATTGGAACCCCAATAGATGGTAAAAATGCCAACGAACAAAATACTGAGAGAGAAAAAGAGAACCTTTCAGAGATTTCTTTCTGATGCTTCTAGTGTCTTTG